AATCATTTAATCATTTTGTTTCACATAAAAAATCGCGGGACCTTGGAGAGATTCTGCAAACCTTACAGATTTGAACAACGTTGTTGGATGCAATCGAGCAACTACAGCAGCAAAGATCCAGAGGTTGCACTTGAAGCACTACTACAATTCAGCCGTAGGGACAGAATGATATGATATAATGATTAGGATGTTGTGTGTTTCGATGATTCTGCTGTCAGCCGATTTATTGTAAATGTATTGTATTGTAAATGAAACAAATAGATCAGGGTGTTGTTTTAATTGTATTGTTTATTAATAAACTTAAGCATTCAACAATGTAAATACTCATTCTCTGAACAAACTAGAAAATAAAACACAAATTTTAAATTGCAAACACTCGTAATAACATGCATGTGTAAACTGACAATTAAATCACATTTAATGATTACAGTAGAGCGTACTTTGTTTTGAAAAGTACGACAAAAATCGTACTAATTCGAGATTCACTCGCACGATACTTGTATTGCACTCGCCATCAATCGCCTGTTTTCGTATCAAATTCGCATGAAATCATACTATATTCCTTTTGAGTCGAGAAATTCAATTCGTACTTTGTCGTTGTCGTTGCCAAAAATCGTGACATTGTGACAGGGGCTTAACGTACAACAAATAAAGATGATGTATGACGACTGACAGAACCATTGCATTAGGTCACCTGAGTGACTCAGTGACAAGAAATCCTTAAGTAACCAAGTATCCATGACTGTTATGCGACAATCTGTAAAGTGATCAAGGCATATATTGTCGCTGGCAACATTATGTACATTATGTATATCTTTATCGGCCGACCCAAATGTGCGCCGATGGACGGCGATATATGTAGAGAGAGTGCTTGCATATTATTGAAATATGTTCTATTACATTTTAATTTTCTCACTTTTTCAGATTTTTTCAGATTTTTGAATATACATTATCCCATTACAGTAGAGACCAGTGACGCTGAAGGTCAGTGTTTAGTGGTTACCCTCAGGGAGCCAGAAAACGATCCATGCAATGTATTCATGAAGGTGGATCAAATAAAAATGTTCAATTCAAAAGTAACATTCTTTGTCTGTTAGCACTTTTTTGTTGTGACGGTACTACATTTCATCGTCCTGTTCATATTGTCGCAGGCGACAATCTGTACCTACTGCGAATATTGTCGTCCATCAGTACATGGCAATGCTTCCATATAAACATGACTGATCATTGCTTTGCTGTTTTTGAGAAGAAACTTTTTAAAGAATTTTCCTATATATTCTAATGCAAAACTTTGATCGCCCATTGTGGCCCCACCCTAGGCCCGGGGGTCATGATTTGAAGAAACTTGATTCTACACTACCTGAAAATGCTTTCATATAAGCATAACTAAGCTTGGGTCTACTGCTGTTCACGCAGGTAGGTTAAGGCTTCCCGTAGAATATCACAATGCACTCTGTGCCTTCACATCTCTGAACTACCAAAATATGACGTCATCATGGAAAATGACGTCGAGTCATTGCAAACTTGAGGTGTTATGACGGGGAGAGTGTCATGAACTTTACACTTTATTTCAAACTGCATGTAAAATGCTAGATAGGTATTGCAAAATTTACGGGTCTTTAAAGGTTTTTTAGGTCTTATATGTCCGAATATTTTAAAAATACACCGCTTACCTACCCTTGATTGAAATTCAGCATGTTCAAAATGCTTATGAAAAATATACTTTTGAAATGTACTCTGTTTTATACCCGTGGTTGGAGGTAGAATTTATTTTGTGTGTATAAAAGAGTCTGGCGCAGGTGATTAATGAGGATTAATTTGATAATTTTTGTGGAAATCTGCAAGAAGAGGTTGTTCTCTAACTGAATCTTGCTTGGGAAAAATGTGTATTGGCTTTGTTTTAATACAGATTACGATATTGTGTGGAAAATACCCTCAAATTTGTAGGTAAGTTGAATTTCTCAGGAAATATTTTGTATCTAAGTAATACTATGACTTTTCCCAAGCACATTTCGGATACACAAGGAGACGATGAGTTTAGTTATATAACAAAATGTTAATAATTATTGTGTTAATCAGCTGCGCCGGAGCGATTTAAATGGAACACTTCAAAAAATTATAAATGACCGTCATGTGATCAACAAAGTCATGTGATATCATAACAAATATGTTAATATATAGCTGAGGAAACCCTCTCTATAAAATTGGGAGTACTTAATTCAATACTTATAAATTGAAACTAAAACCGACCTCGCAATGACATATTATGTTTTGAGCGCATTTTAAAGCTTCGGGAAGCCTTAACATAGCTGCGCACAGTTGTGGATCCAGAAATTTCAGATTGGGGGATGTTGCTAAGTAAACTATTTAATTATGAAATTTTACCTGTGGACTAAATTGAGAGTATATACAAGTTAAACGAACAGAATTTACAAAAGCAAAAAAAAAAAAAAAAAAAAAAAAAAAAAAAAAAAAAAAAAAGGAAAGAAAAAAATAAAAATAAAAAAAAGGAAAGGCGGGGTGCGCCCGTGCTAGATCCGCCTGTAGTCCTTGAGAAAATTTTTGAAGATTTTCTGTATATTATCCTATGTAAAACTTTGATCACCCATTGTAGCCCCACCCTGCCCCTGGGGGTCATGATTTAAACAAAATTAATTTTGTTTTTGTTTGATTGTTTGTTGTTTTAACTCATATGGAGACGCCACCGCTTGCCGATGGAGGGCTGCATATTCAGATCTATACCCGGCACTCAGGGCCATTGAGCAGTGAGGGATCTTTCTCTTGCCAGCATCTACAAAATTGGACGTACACTATGTAATGAAGCTTTCACATAAGTATCATCTCCTCTGACCCACTAGTTTTTAAGAAGAAGATTTTGAAAGAATTTCTCCTATATATTCTATGAAAAACTTTGATCACCTATTGTAGTCCCACCTTCTCCCCGAGGCACATGATCTGAATAAAACTGAATCTACACCTTATAATGAAGTTTTCACATAAGTTTCAACTTTTCTGACATATAATGGTTCTTGAAAAGAATTTTTAAATGTGCCACTAAATTTTCACTAATTCTTAAGAGCCACCTCCCTTGAAAGAGGGCATGACCCTTCAGTTAAATAAACTTAACTCCCTTTATCCACGGATGCTTTCTGGCAAGTGTGGTTGAAATTGGCCAGGTAATTCTTGAGAAGATGCTGAAAATGTGAAAAGTTTACGGACGGACGGAGAGATAGACAACAGACAAAATATGATCATTCGCTTGAGCTTTCAGCTCAGGTGAGCTAGAATGTCGACCACAACACCAATTATATCGGCACTTGTATAAAAATAATGCATAAAACAATTTCCAGATAATCATGACTACTGAACAAAAATAAACATTCAATCTCTAAGTATACATGTGTATAACGAGAAAAAAAGAATGGCCTGATTTATTAGTTATCTCAATAACTTGACATATCTTTTGATCTACACCAATCCTGGACACAGTTTTCTTTCCAATTTTTTCTCCCTACAGTATTGCGAGTGAAGCTAAATAAATGCAACTCGTTTACTTACTTATCTGCCATACACTTTGTCTATCCTTCTGTGTGTGTGTGTGTGTGTGAGGGTGTGAGGGTGTGTTTGTGTGTGTGTGTGTGTGTGTGTGAATCTCTCTCTCTTTCTTCACGGCCTTAGTAAATGTATTCTTCAACACAATAAATCGACGACAAAATGTGCAAATATTCACAGTACATATTATCGCCGGCGACAACATGTGCCGATGTGTGACAATATGTACTAATGGACGACAATATGTGCAGTGAGGGTGGGTACATATTGGCACCGACGACAATATGTACAAAAAGACAATATGTACCGTCACAAATTTCCCACGATTTGTGGCTGGATATGATTTTTATCCAACTCGTATGTTTTTTTAATCCCTGAGCCTTGCCTTTTTGGGGACAACCCAAAAAAAAAAAAAATTGACAAGCAAAAAAAAAAAAAAAAAAAAAAAGAAAAAAAAAAAAATAAATAAATTAATAATAATAACAAAAATAATAATAAAAAAGACAGGAAAATTGGGAAAAATTTCCGAACTCGAAAATCCTATTTTCATGTTCCTTTTTTTTTTGGGGGGGGGGGGGGGTTAGGTAGGCAGATTTCAACTTCCTTTCAAAACCAAATTTTATTTTATTAATACATTACCAAGTTACAATCTTTAACTATGGTACAACAAAAAAATGGGGTGGGCAAGTTTACCAGCCTTTCAATGAACTTTTTCGATAGTAAAAGGTTATATTTGGATATCTCTTATGCAAAAAGAGATAAATTTCAAATTGAAAGAGATATTTCTTTATTGAATAAATAGTTAAAGGGCTTATCATAGGTATTTCATAGATCATTTTACTTTGCAATAAGCCTATAGATATAATTTGGATAAATGAATGATAATTAATGGGGGAGGGGTTGCTCTGGGGAAAATAGTACTCTGTAACTATAACACATACCTGGATTTCTTCAAGAAATTTGAGTTTGATTTCAAATTCCTTGGGGGAAAAAGTACTCCTAGAGTCTTTGGAAAAATCCTACTCTAGATCTCTTTCCGTAGACATCCTATTAGAGCCAGATTTAAGGGGTGGGAATATAGAGTGGATACCTGCTTTTGAAGACTGGTACTTTGCATTTCATGAAATGTTTTTTTAACAGTTTTGCGAGACTTCTTTGTATGTTCAACTGGCCTCGAACACAAGACAATGTTTACCTTTTCTATTGAGGAAGCATTAATTTCATGAATATTGGGCGGGACATACATGAGACATATAATAACAGTTTGCATCGCCTTTATGGAGTAGCACATTTGAAGTTTAGTTGCTTTCACACAATCCTTTTTACTTAACCATAGTCCTTTTTTCTTTCTGCCATGATTCACTTAAGGATGATATTAATGTTAACAGGAACTATGTTATCTTTTGGATTTGGTATTATTTTGATACAAAATGTAAAATCACAGCAAGATGTTCAATCTGTTGTTATCTCGTATAATTCTGAACATTTCTTTAGATGTTCTTTCTATGGGGAAAAATGCACAACAAAGTTCAACCTTTGCATGCCCCGGATGTGGAGCAAGTCTGGCTGTTGACAGTAACGTAGAAACCTGTACTAGAACAGAGTTAGAAAGGAATCAGTGGTGGATGGTTGATCTACAAGAAATAAAATCCATATATGCCATTAAGTTTATCTTTAGGAATTATAGTGGATTTGGTAAGTTATCTTAATGCTTTGACTTCTTAACAAGTCATGGTTGTGTTTTCGTGTTTTTAAAGAAAAAAGTAGCACTGTCTATTTCTCATTGCCTAATGGTCATGGTTTCTTTACACTTGTATTTTCAAGGATTACGGCAGCAAAAACGTTTATCCGGATATGCCATTTATGTATCAAATTCTCCAGATATTAAAAGTGGCAAACTGTGCTTCAAAGATAAAGGACAATATCTACCATCACTTACAGCAGAGCACATCTGTGCCTCGTTTGGACGCTATGTTCAGTTTGTAAACGAAAATTACACCTACGTAGAATTGTGCGATTTTGTCGTTTCAGGTACGTGGAATTTTAAAAACTTAAATAAACTCATCTTGTAGTAGATAATAACTACATCTACGTCCTGTGTTTACCTTAAGACACTATAAAGTCTGACTGAAGATGTTGATTATTGTCAAAGGTTGAAAACATCATAACTTTCATTGCTAAATAATATGTATGTTCCTATACATGTGTTTTGACTAATTTCAAGCAGATAATACATGTAACTACTGTCGGTATCTGTTTTATTTTTTATTTTTTTTTTTATTTTATTTAATTTTCCTGATTTAATGTCAACTCAATTCATTCATTCAACAATTCATTCTCAAGATCTTTATGGTTTGGGTTCATTTCCCCCCAAAGAACTCTTTTTATCATTCTTCCACAGAAAAGTTTTGTTTGTCAAACTTTCATTCCTTTTAATATTTAGAACTTTGCTCTAAATACTTTATTCACAAGTTGAATGTGATTTTTACACATGTGAAGCTATATGTATTTTGCACGCCCTGTTCGCCCATCTTTCACGCGGTCATCTTGCATTTGCGTAAATCATGTTTTACTTATGATTATATATTCGGAAGGAATTCTAAAGCAAGAACATTTAGCAGGATAAACAATTTATATGTAAAATTCAGTAGGAAAAAAGTGTTGAATTGTGATTAACGAATAAAACGTGTCACATTTACAATCACGTACCTCATTTGGTCGATAATATCAGTTTGTTAATGAAAATAACATGTACATAAAATTGTGTAATTTGATTGTTTAAGGTAAGTAAAATTTTCACGTTAAGAAAAAACCCCCCAAATCCTTAATCATAGCTGATATTTTAAGTCAAGTTATTGAAATTGCGACACAATTATTCAAGTGAAATCTTTGTGAGGATGGTAAAACCCTTACTTTTTACTTGATAGCATAATTTCCTTCCTTATTTATTCGAAATATTTTTCTTCAATATTCATATTTAATCAACTGATATTATATCCAAAGCAAATTGTTATTTAAAAAAAATCATTTGTTTGGCTAGATTGTGTATAGTGCATTCAATCATTACATATACCTGTATGCAGTGCATTTAGTATTCTGATGTTATTTTATAATTTTTCTAAGTATTTGTTTGCGTCCAAAGTAGATGGTAAAACATAAACTTTGCCTTCCAGAAAGTTAGACGTTGAAGTGCATTCAATCGCTTTGTCAAAAGGAAATGAAAATGCGCTTTCAGAATCTTGACGTATATCATTACCTCTAAAGTCTTTCCTTCCATTTCTAAATGTTTGTCCAAAATACGGATATACAGAAAAAAAGATTCATACAATATTTTTTATCATAGTCCATCTGCATAACATGTACAACACATGTCGGCACACTGCATCACCACCTTTTCTACTTTTGTGTATAATTATATTTAGATTACACTCACATCTTAATAGATGTAAATTCAATTTTTTAAAAGTTTTCTTTCATTTTCGAGAAACAGACGTGAAGCAGCAAGAAAGAGAGAACAGTTGTGGCTACGGTTCGCGGATATTTATTTCTGGCGATTTTTAATGAATTGTTAATAGCAAGCACTTAATCACTTTATAAAACGTTATAATAAATCATTCAATTAAAATTTGATTTAAATGATACAGAAAACATAAGTTGTGATAATTGATTAAAAGCAAGATATGTCAATCATTTTCGTCACTCCCAGATCTTAGTCTTAATGGAAATTTCTAGAATGTCATATGGCATCGAACCCGGTGTTCAAAAAAAAAAAAAAAAAAAAAAAAACGAATCTATTATCACTACATTAAAATAATAAAAAAAAACCTTTGATGTGAATTGGCATGGAAATATTGGAAAAGCAATTGATAACACTCTAAATTGTTAATAGATTTATATACTGAAAAAGAACGCAGGGTAAACTTTTAAAGTGATTTAATGTTATATTTTCGAACGTATTTTCCAGTATTGTAATCTAATTTTTAAACTCATATTTTATTAACAAGTAAGTAAAATCTCATTTGATTTGACCGATAATTTATGAGTCATTGAAACTCAAATGACGGTATCCCCCAAAAGTGAAAATCGAATATTCTCCTTATCTCCTATGCCTCCCTCGTGCATCTGTCACAGCCTTAATTCTCTTGTGCATGGAATTCATAAGTGCATTTATCTTTCTCATAGGGATATTTTTCAACCCTTTCGACAAGGCAACGCTTAGTTGGTCGAGAGTGGCTTAGAAATTCCGACGCCTTAAAACCCTACCGTCCAGTTAGTCCCACAGACTTTTGACTGAAGAAAAAAAGATGGATTGTACGGATACCAGTCGAGTGGGTTAATGTGAATGTTTGCAAGAAAGTTTTGAAAAATTCTGGCAACATTGGGGCGCGGTTTAACATGCTGAAAAATTAGGCATAATGAGCATACGCGCGCGAGTGAGAGAAACCCTTACGGAAAGTTGACGAGCTCACAAACCAAAGTCGCGCAATGAGTTTCTTTCAGTTTTAGGTTGAATGTAACGATTTTATTATCCATTGTATAGACGTCATTGAGTCCTAGGCTAAAGCAAGCACTCCACTTCGACGTCATCACGTGACATCTATAAATAGAAAAATCGCCTTAACAAAAAAGTAAAAAGTTCAACACTATCCCGGGGATAATGAATTTCCTTTTGTGAAAATAATTATGTAAAACCATCATTGGGTCATGAAAAGTGCTGCTAGAATCCTACTCTCCCGACACAGAAAAAATCATTCCAAAGTTTTGCATGAAACCTTACCAAAATTTTTACATTTTGTACATACGATGAAGGAATTGTCATCAATTCAAGTTAACCACACGATTCTAGCAGCACTTTCCAAGTATTATAGAATACAAGCTTTCTGTACAAACAAAAAATATGTTTCAAAGTAAGCGGTGTAGTGTTGAACTTTTGCATTTTTGTTGTTATAGAACGACAGAGGAAAGGCTGATCGGGATTTCAAAACACTGTGTTCATTTAAAAAAAACGATTGATTAAAAAAAGGAAAATAAATTAGCGTACCTGATTCTTAATCTTTAATTCCTTATGAATCACACATGACATTCACGGTATATGCTTTAAAACTCCCATTTCATATATTTGATTACATGAATTCTCATCACGTCAAGTTTCACTCGGTAAATATTTGATCAATAGTTATGACGTCATGGGTTTGGTATATGTTGTATATTGTTTTACGTCCCATTCGAGAATTTTTCACTCATATAGAGACGTCACCATATACCGGTGAAGGGCTTCAAATTTTGACCTTTACTCGGCACTCAGGGCCATTGAGCAGTGAGGGATCTTTATCGTGCCAACGCCTGCCGTGACACGGGGCCTCGGTTTTTAAGGTCTCATCCGAAAGACCCGCAACTTTCACTCCAAATTGCCGAGCGCATGGCGAAGGAACAGTTGCTACCTATTTTTTATCGACTTAGGTCTGTCGCGGCCGAGATTCGAACTCACGACCTCCCGATCACGGAGCGAGCGCTCTACCGACTGAGCTACCGTGAACGGTCAAGGGTTTGGTATTTAACCTCTGCGATAAATACTTGGCTATTTATACCACCCAAAAACGACAAGATTTAGTTTATATTATGTTTTTGAACGATTTATGTTATTTCTTGGACCTGAAATCAAACTTAAAATACAGATATGAAGAAATCATTATCTCTAAAGTTCACGTTATGCAGCTTACTATGACGTCATATTATATAGGCATGTGGGGTATCTGGTTGTAGCCTTATCATACCCGCGTCGTTATCGTCACGGTTAATTGGAAATGTTTCCAGTCTCTCTCTGACGACGGATAAGACGTTCTGTGATGAAAAAAATCACAACAAACTGCACAGCAACCTTTCCTTTTCCTCACTTTCGCAATGCAATTGCAAGACTCCATGGAATTTCCGTCAACCACACCATGATTAGAAAAAAAATCAAATTGTCTTTAAATATCGAAAAACAGCGTGCATATCTTCAGTGCATCAAGTGGTATTACAAGATGTGTTGACAAACCTGTCATCAACAATATGCACCTGTTTTTGGCTTTTTTCCATTTCCCATTTTACCATTTTCACTGTTGAGTAATTGAGCCATGCAGTCAATAAATTTTTACATATTATGTACCATGCGTTTCTTTTACCTTTCAGTATATATCGAAAGACTATTAGTAAGTTGAGCTTATATATTAATCAGTAAAATGTGCATATTCGCCACTAAGAGCATCATACAACGAACCCGATGTACAATGTTTATATACATGTAGGAATAAATTTGCCTACATGTAATTTAAAATAAATGAATATGGAATTGTTCAAATAAGTATAGTAAAGAGGTGCACATACATGTATTCTATGTTTCACATTCAATTTAAGCTGTTAAAAATGTGTGCTTTGATCAATACATCCTGTTTTTTTTTTTAAAAAGTCTTTTGTATTAAATATCAGGCCTATATTTAAAGTTTGTAAAGCTAATTTTAGCAAAAAAATGTGCTCACAGATTTATCATAAAAACGAATATTTGCATCTTTTAGCCATGATAGTAGTTTTAACAGAGCATCCTATGTGCAAAATTATAATGTAATGCAACAGGTATAAAACTTAAATTGCAAACACATAAAGAGAAAAGGTCAATTAATTAAATTAAATTTAAAAAGGGGGGGATGGGTGGGTAGGGAGGACATTAATGAATCTTTGCTCCTCACTTAAATATTAACAGCAGTGAAGGAGAAACTTCCAGTACATTGTACAACAATAAATTCGAGAAGTGGTGTAAATCAGATGTGGATACTTAAAACTCCAAGGGACTTTATAGAGCAATTCCCCACGATAAATTAAAGTCCAGGCTTTTGACATCGTAGACAAGTGCTTTTTCAAAAAATAGAACTCTTAAATTTACTTACAATATTATTGGTCATTTGCAAAATTATTTTGTTAAACACCATTTTGATTGTACATACAAGTACTATGAAGTAGATATTAAAAAGATGCTTGAGTTTCTGATTGACAAT